AAAAGTATTAAGCAAAGTTTGGCCTGGCCAGTGGAAGTATTTCAGAAGTTGGTAAATCAGTAGCGGGCATTTTCTCCTTGCCATAAAGCAAGCAGTGAGCCTGTGCTTACAGGTGATGGTGACACACTTGAAAGTTTGTGGTTCATCCTTTAGAGAAGGTATGAAGTCCAAAGTTACTGATCTTTTACAGCCACTAAAAATACTCTGCCAATGTGACTTTTCAAATACAAACAGGCAGTTGCTGTATTTTAGCACTGGTTATTCTCAAATAACCAGTTATTATTTTCTGGGAGAATTAAATGATAATTCTTGCTTTAGTGGTACCAAGAAAGTGAAGCTGAGCTGGTGTGGGTGGCATATACTGGATTTACACTGATGTAGACACAGAATTATATTCTGCCTTCTCTCAATTCCTGTTATGTATTGCTACAGCTACGAAGAAGTGTACAAGTACCTGATATAATGGTTGCAGGTTATAAAAAAGGATAAAAAGAGCTCTAAAAATATAATAGACTTAATCCTCAGCAGGAAGAAATTGACATTTATGGAGCTGCATCAGATTATATTATCTGGGACTTAAAAAGAGCCAAATTCTGTTCTCTGTTACAGTGTTCTAAATCTGCAGTAAATCAGCTCAGTGAGTAAACAAAATACATAAGAAAAGACATTGTTTCGGTATGTTATTTGCTATTGGTTTATTTCATTATTATTATGAACAGCTATGCCTTTAACTGGGGCAGGTTTAGTCTTTCACTAGTCAGCTTTTATGTTTTATTACCCTATCAATAATGAATGTACATGAATATGTAATAACCAGCTATTTAATTAATGCATTCAACATTGTGAGACTAGCAAGGAGCAAAATCTATACTCTTTTAAGAAAAAGAATCTCCAATATGAGGAAATTTCAATTGCAGATTCCTTTTCTCTGTTTTTTACTTAACATCATAATCAGATCAATGATTCAAAGTAATAGTTGATTTCCACTTCAGATCTTTTAAGGAAAGGAAAGATGGATATCTAGAGAAGGAAAGATGAATAATAATTGCAATAAATATGTATTCTTAAAAATACAAAATTATTCAAGATAAAATACTGAAACTCCTTTGGGAACATCAGCAGAAAGAAGGTGGTATTACAGCTTTGATACAGAGATGTTTGCATTTGGCTGTTGTTAAAGATGAGTGTAGTTCAGTGAAAACAGTGAGGCTATTCATTTATTTAATATTAATTGCATAAAGGATTTCCTGATTTTAGTCTTTGTCTCCACATGCTTAAATCTCCCCAGTGTGTAAACAGCAACACCAGAGGGCAGGTGCCAGGAGGTGGGGGTAGTTTGCTGTAAGGCATTTAGGAACGCATGTCCCCTTTCTGAGGTAAATTTCTAGCTGGTTAAGAGTGTCTTGTGATTTTGGGCTGCAAAATATTCTCTCTGACACTGGGTTTCTTGTGGTTTACATCTGAAAATCCAATCCAGTAGAAAAAAATGCTAATGTTATTTTCAAGTAAAGTAATGCCTGTCATTATTATGGTAATACCATCTTTGTATGCTTCTCAGAGGTAAATACTCTTTTGTTAGATTAAGGTTATACAGAAGGACTCCAGGCAAAGGATCACGTTGCATTCTTTTTTTTCCTGTAATTTTAGCTGTCACCCTATTTGACTAAAATACCACCTAGTGCTGTTAGTTAGATCTTTGACTTAGGACAGGTGTCAGTCAAATAATATTCGCAAACAATTCAGAGTATTGCCAAACTTTATCAGGTCATTCGTTTTTATTTGTGACACCAGCTCTTGCCAAGTCAAGATTATATAAAGTTTTTAGTAAGCAGTTTTTTGCCATTGATCTGAAAACGTTAGTGATGATGGAAAGGGGTAAAATTCCCAATAAAGAAAGGAGAAAACAGAGCGGATTAGTAAGACAAATTCTATTAGTGATAGAATTTTTCTATTCTTTAGTCCTTGTATTAGTAAGCAATTCACCAGCACACACAGTTCTGTTGATAAGAACATAACATGCGTCCCTACTTGTCATGGGAACAAGTATCTTACTGTGCAAGTCACTTTGATTTTTTAAAACGTTTTTGGAAGGCACCGTGCTGTCATGCTTGCCCCCTTACAAACGAGATGGAGATAAGCTGATTCACACTGCATAAACAATCCCAACTTTTTTTTTTTTTCCCCAAAGTCTACTTACAGTTCTCTTGGCTTCCATCACCACGTATAGAGCGAATTGATTACCAGTTGCTCTGTCGCCATTGTACTTCTGCAGTGCTGCATCGACAGCTTTAAAGACATCAGGGTCATCACAGTCTGAAAATTCATATGGAAGAGGGATGGCTCTGCTGCAGAAAAAACTACAGCAGAGTAGTAGTACAATGAAAGGTTTCATAGCTGAATCAAAAAGGCCACCTGAGTTAGAAGGCTCCTTAAAAACTAAATGGAAAAGAAATGCCTGGCAGGGTTTTAGTCACCTCTTCTGTTTTTCAGGAGCAATAGCTAAGTAAACAGAACAAGTGGATTGCTGGGGTTGGTTGGTTTTCATCATACCCTGTTTGTACTGCAAATAAACTTCTGACTTTATTTAAATAAACTTTGTGTGGTCACCAGAATGACAGTAAGGTTATCCACCTGCCATCAAGGTAACTGGATAAATGGCTGCAGCTGGGAACAGGTTTAGACCAAGCAGGACAGCTCTTGAGGAAAAGAGAAAGAACATTTGTAGCTTTCTGACTTCTTAACATCCAATCTGCTACTGAGAGTGAATTCCACAAGGCTTAAATAAAACACCCAAGAAGGTCCCAGTGGCAAGGAAATTCTGGACTTATACCTTGTAACTTTTATAGATCTGTTCAGTGTTCAGACTGCAGTAGTTCTGAGAACTGTAGCTCTCAGAACTTGTTTGAAGAAGGTCTTTGGACAGATGCATATGGTTGAATGTCACGTAGTCTTCAATAATACTTGATAAACATTGTCCTTCACGATACTGTTGGAGATGTCCATCTCTGCTGCCATGCAGAGACTGCCTTTGGACCATGGATTAGTGAGTCCATGGTGCTTTGTTACCATTACAGATATGTGACACCCAAGAACAAAGGATTAAACAATGTTCCTCTGTCTGGCAGAGCCAGGATTGGGGCTGGCTGAGAACATCTGGTGCTTGTCTCCAGGGTTTGGCACCAAGTAGCTTTTCTTTGGATCTATGAACACCTTGGGTTTTCCTCAGCTCCTGTGTTCCAGCTGTGTCTTGCTGTATTTGGGTTGCATGGCAAGGTTTTGGTAGCAGGGGGCTGCAGGGCTCACTTCTGTGAGAAGCTGCTGGAAGCTTCTCCTGTGTCTGACAGAGCCAGTGCCAGCTGGCTCCAGGATGGATCCAGTTCTGGCCAGGACTGAGCCTGTCAGCAGTGGTGGGAGTGCCTCTGGCAAAACTGAGTGGAGAGGGGAAAAGAAAGAACTGGGGAAGAACAATAGCGGAGAGAGGAGTGAGAATATGTGAGAAACAAGTATGCAAACAACACCATAGTGAAGATGGAGTGGGAGGAGGTGCTGCAGGTGCAGGAACAGAGATTTCCCTGCAGCCTGTGGGGCAGACCATGGTAAGGCAGGCTGTCCCCCTGGAGGTTAGTGGTGGAGCAGGGAGCCACCAGAGCATGTGGATTCCCCATGGAGGCTGTGACGCTGTGGGAAGCTTGTGCTGGAGCAGGTTTGCTGGCAGGACTTGGGATCCTGCAGGGGACCCTGTCTGGAACAATTTGTTCCTAAAGGACTGCATATTGTGGTAAGGACCCACACTGGAGCAGTTCATGAAGGACTGTGTCCAGGGGGAGGGATCCCAGGATGGAGCAAGGGAAGTCTGTAGAGTCTTTCTTCTGAGCAAGAAGGAGAGGCAGATGCAACATATGCTGGGCTGACTGCAACTCCCATTCCCATCCCCCTGCACTGCTTGAGGAGAGGAGACAGAGATAATGGGGAGTAAAGTTAAGCCTGGGAAAAAGGTTGGGCTGGGGAAAAGGTGTATTAAAGATTTAATTTATTTCTCATGATCTTACTCTGGTTTGATTGGTAATAAATTAAACCCATTTCCCCAAGTCCAGACTGTCCATGAGAGTGTTCAGTGAGTGCTCTCTCTGTCCTTACCTTGACCCAGGAGCCTTCTGTTGTATTTTCTGTCCCCTGTCTGGCTGAAGAGAGCAGTGATAGAGCAGCTTTGGGGACACCTGGCACCCAAACAGAGTCAACCCACCACACTTGCTATAAGTTTTGATTAAAGAGAATGAACTTTAGTAGAGATTTTGGACAAACTGTGCTGGAAATAAGGTTGTTTATGCATGTTGACAGGTTTCTAAAAGTTAGTCAACCTTCACTCAGCTACACTGAGTCCCCATTTTGGTTTTTTCCTTCAATGTAGCCCTAACACTGTATTTCACTTTATGCCGTTAAAAAGCTATTCTGAGGATGAAATTCCTAATTTTTTGAGATTAATCCCAAGTTTTTATTAGTTAAGTGTTCTGAATCAGCTCACTGAGGTCCTAGGGGTGTCTAAATGGACTCAGCCTTGATGTGGGCTGGAGTATGAAGAGACTCCCCTGTTCTTGCTTCCTGCTCCTCCCAACTCAATTTCCATTGAGGAAGTTCAGCGATAAAGAAAACATTTACATGAAGGACTTATTACATGCATCTGCTTTTCTCTTCCCCTGAGAGCAATTATGAGCTATTTGAAAAGGGCTGTCCTTGACTGCAGTATTTCTGGGCATCACCACCAGCAGCTGTAGCAATGGAAGCACCTGTGTGGGCCACCCTGTGTGAGACTGCAAGTCATTAACTGTTCTCAGACCTTTTCTAGGTAAAGGTGGTAACCCAAACACCATTAATCAATTTATGTTAGAGTTTGCTTCATGGATGTTTAAATAGCTTAATAGTTTAATATAATTTATTAGTTTAATATTAATAGCTAAAAATACGTAGTAACAAAAAAAAAAGACAGAACTTAGGCAACTGTGTCAAGAAAAAAATGCTTGCATATTTTTATTTTCTTTGAATCTGTATAAAACATGAATGTAGTGCTATGGATCATTTCTTGTGGAAGGCAGTCAAATTTCCTCTAGGTCAGATTCCTCCAAGAAGTACATTATAATTATGAATGGTGACAAAATTAAAGATTTTACTTGGTAGTTTTCACTCTTAGGGAATTTTCCTTTTAGTTAGAACTGAAGGAACATTGTTTACTGGGGAGATTTTTACCCATTCACAATATCTGAGGGACTCAGAATTTTGAGTTCTTCGATCACAGTGGAGCCTGAGATAGCCAGGATGAAGATACAGGTGATACTTAATGATTATTTTCAGTGCTTCTTCTCCCTAGAAGTTGATTGCTTTCCCCCCTTCTCTATGTGCTGTTTTCATTCTTTGAAGAACCGTCCTTGGCCCTGCAGCTCTCAAACTAGGAACATCTTTCTCTGGGGTCATATAGGAGAATTTTCTGCCGTGGAACTCTGTGGAAATAATGGCAAAATTTTTGGAAGAACAAGTTTGGGTTTTCCTGGGCATGATTTTGATTGTGTAGGGTGATCTGGAAAGCCTGGATCTTCTGGCATCTCTGTTAGTCTTGAGCCGGTGAAGGCAATACCTTCACCAGTGCTGAGAGAGTGAGTGTTGAACTGGGATAGCTCACAAAAGTTTGCACTGGGAGGTATGAGAGAACCCTGCTGACTGAGAACAGGAATGTGATAGACAGTTCCTGTCATGTGGCATGGAAAATACTTTCCTGACATGCTTGTCTTGTTGCAGTGATGTCTGTAATGGTGATGACGGTGATGAGGGTGTCCTAGAGGTGGCCCATGATGGTGAGGAGGATGGGGGTGATCTGGTCCATGAGGAGGGGGAGGAGGAGGACAGTGTGGTCCATGATGGTGAGGAGGATGGGGGTGATCTAGTCCATGAGGAGGGGGAGGAGGAGGACAGTGTGGTCCATGATGGTGATGAGGATGGGGGTGATCTGGTCCGTGAGGAGGGGGAGGAGGAGGACAGTGTGGTCCATGATGGTGAGGAGGATGGGGGTGATCTGGTCCATGAGGAGGAGGGGGAGGAGGAGGACAGTGTGGTCCATGATGGTGAGGAGGATGGGGGTGATCTGGTCCATGAGGAGGAGGGGGAGGAGGAGGACAGTGTGGTCCATGATGGTGAGGAGGATGGGGGTGATCTGGTCCATGAGGAGGAGGGGGAGGAGGAGGAGCAAGTCCTTCATGGCTGTCTTGATCTTCCTTGCTGAAGTTGTGGTTATGTTCGGGGTCTTCAGGTCTGGGTTGAGAAGAGGGTGGACATTCATGTCTGTGATGATGTCTATGATGATGTCTGTGACCAAAATGATGAAAATGGGGATGTCTGTGTGGTTTTCCACCTTTGCCTCTTCGCCCAAAGCCAAGCTGCTGTTTATAAAAATACCAGGGGAGGAAGTATTAAGTCAGGTGTTGATAGGACAGAAGAAAGTGATGAGAAAGAGAGAGGTGTGAGTTAGTAGGTCTGCATTTGTAGCTCAGTTGATCTTTAAGAAAAAAAAGCTGCCTTTTTTTCAAGATAGAAGAGAAGGAGTAGATGAAAAAATGCCAAATTACTGAAAATCTTCTGGAAATACTACACCATATCAAATTTATATAACCAGCTGAGAAACATTTGTGATGGATCAAAACAAAATAAAACCACACTAAAGTAGCTATTGTAATATAAACTGTAATACCAAATATGATAAAGATCATCTCCCCTCCTCTTGCTTTCTAAAATTCCTTTGAACTTGTTTACCAGTCTTTACTCTCTTAAACTAAGTGATTGACCTGAGAGAAGACTTGGAGGGAGTAGTAGTGACAGCTCAATTCTAATTCATCTTCTGATTGACCTCAAAGATCAGTCTGTCCTAAGATGCTTCATCACACCCAGGCAGTAATAAACTGGCATAAACAATTGTTATCATAAACAATTGTCATCTGCTAGCATGGACTAAGCGAGGTTGCTGTAACCTGCATGAGAATAAACCTGGAGACATGTCCACAAGTGAGTGCATACCCAGGGATGGTAGATTTCACAACTTATGTCTGTTCCATCAGGTTCATCTGCATCACTGATCACTCTCGCCGTGCAGAATCCCATGTGCTAAGCAAAAGAAAAGGAAAAAAGAACTACAGTGCACATTCTTGTGATGGAGTTAATAGAAGCCACTGACATTTTACAAGTGAGGCTGATTCCCTCAGCACCTGAGTGTGTTCACATAGCTTAGCTAAATCCTGAGCTTTCTGGCCAAGGCTTGCCAGCAATTAATAATGATTCAAATATGTGCCATTTTTGAGGGTTCTTGACTGTGAAGACCATTTCACCATGAGCATCTAGAGGGCTTCTACTCCCCATCTTACTTCTCTTTTGAAGTCTAAGAAACTGGCCAGCTACTGATGTCTCCAAAGAAGAGACTCACACTGTGAGTGATTGATTTGTATTCCTTTTTTTTTGTCTTTGCTTGTCGAACACATGCTCAGATAGTGCCATCCTGAAATCTTGCTAAATTCTCAAAACCTGTCACTGTGTAGCTGTGCTGCTTCAGCCAAAGTTCAAAGCAGAACTTTTTTCCTTGTTTTAAAAAATAATTTATTGTAACTTTTTAGCATTTCTTCCCTTAGCATCCTGTTTGTTGTGACTTTCTTCTGCTGTCCAGTCGTTGTGTGTGGAATTGCTCATATGAAAGAGCACAAAACTCTATGAGGGGTTCTGTGTATGCTTTCTGTAGTGAATGCTTTATCTTGATATATGTTTGGGCCATTAGCAGCTCATTATGATCAATGATTAAAAATGCTGCTGGCATTTTACACACACAGCAGAGGGGGCAGCTCTGGGAACAGAATTCAAACCCTCTATAGCCATTTCATTTTGTGCTTCATTGTAGTGAACTTGTGACTCTGCTACCAGTTAATTCACAATCTTTTTCAGCCTTCTTGGGTATACAAAGCCAGAGAAGAAGATGGATGTAAATAAAGCAGAAGTTTTACATGTTTTATTTTTTCCATGTTTTTGTTTCATTCCTTCAATTTAATTTCTGGGAAATAATTTATTCTGAAATTATGAGACCTTGCCTAGCTTGGTGTAGACTATTGTGGTAATGGGAAAGTGGGGTGAGGAGAATACTTTGGTAGTTATCTGCAGACAAGCTTTATTTATATAATCTACTCTCCATTCCTCTGCAACAGAGGAGAAAAAAGTAACCCTGAGCTTACTGGAATGACATAAGACATGCATATTTTTCGGGATCTATGACTCATATTAGTGTAAAAGTTTTTATGAACATAGCATGAATGATTTGCTAGGGATTGGCCACAATTTGAATGCAAAAGCCAGATACAACCTGAAAAGCTCTAGGCCTCTAACATGCCAGAGTCCAGTTACATTTAGATTTGAGAGTTCAACCTGTATTCTTATAAAATAAAAAGGAGCAGCTGTAAAATTAAGATCTGGGCTTGGACATCCTGCGTCTTTAATTTTGAGTTTGGCTTGATGGTTATAAGAAACATTTGGAAATATATTGGTAAAATCTTTCTGGTCCCACCCATTGTATCAGTTCTTATTCTAAAACTTTACTTACAGCGTGCCAGTCATGGAGAAAATCACATTCCGATGCCTGATCTTCTTGCTGCACAGTTTCAGAACAGTTTGTCTCCTTTATAGAGAATCCTAAAATGTGACCTTCCCGGGAGGCAGTCTGAAACCAAGAGGTCAAACAAGAATTGGTAACTAGGTGTATTTAAAATCCTGTAATTTTCAAGGCAACCACATTTCACCTTGTTGTCAAAATCCCATCTAGGTCATGCTTTCCTTTCATGTCCTGTTCAGATGTTCATACAAATACACACATTCAGTGAGGAAAACAGCTGAGATAACTTATACCTTACTTTCCTCACACCCTCACAAGTTCCAGGGATGTTTACTTTAATTCTGTGTCTAGTGTGTGTGTGTGTTAGAAAACCTGTTACTTTTACAGCCTGTGTTTTTAGGCATTGATGTCCTTAGAGTCCTCCTGAAACTGAACTGCTGTTCCTGTGAAAATAGAGAGATCTACTGGATGACAACCGCCCCTTTCCAGTGATGGGAGTGCACAGTATTACAGTGCTGATGTTAATTTGGAGTGAAACCTGTGAGATTATTGCTTTCTCTCATGGCAGGGGCACTATTCATAGAGAAGGCATTACTCCATATGAATATGGGAGAAGGCCTTTGTGATCCTATTAAAATCCATAAGGAGGTGTTTCATTTTAATTCCAACTGTAACAGTACTTTATTTCGGGTCTGTGTTAAAGGTGTCCATAGCATGTGTGCACACACAAGTTTCACTAGTTTAACTAAACTGGTTAAAAGTGGATGCATATACTTTATGGTATAGTTTTTTATTGTAATTCACAGTTTCTGAGTGTTATGCAGTCTGTTCAAATCCAGTGGTACAATCTAAAGTGTCAGTGTAGCTGAAAACAAACTGTTTGGGGAGAAATACATGAATCCAGGCAATCTGGAAACAGCCATTTGCTAAATAGGAGTGGGGGTATATCCTGCATGGGGTACAGTGTGGGACACTGTCAGGTTTCTGAGCAATATTAAAAGCTGCAGGGAGGTGGGGTTGGCATGCTGTAATTTAGGCAGTTTCCAAGATCAGCATGTGTTATGGTAGGGGCTGTGGGACTTCATTACAGAGGTGTCCTGAGCTGACACATTGTCGGAATGACCCTGTGCTGTTTCAGTAAATGTCTCCAGTATCTACCACCAAAAAATTTTGGTGATGTGAAGGTTATACTTCAGATAAGCCAAGGGGTAAGTCTTCATGTTGACATCACTCAAATATGGAGTTATTGGAACTGCTCACCAAATTTGGTAGTTTATAAGTAATTCTAGGACAAAATGCCACTTACCATCTTTAAAACCCTTTCAACTTTGTCCACAGCGAAGTAGTTTGTGTGGTTACTCTCAATCTTGAATTTCTTCAGGGCCTTCGTAGCAATATCTTTATGTTGCTCTGTGACTTCTAAGACTTCAATTTTCACAGGACAATCTTTGCACTCCAATAAATCAGGTGGAACTGTAGAAACAGAGGATTTACTAATATTGCAATGGATATTAATACTCTTGGGAGCGTGCCTGTGCCTTTAGTGTGAACTTATAATGAGAAATTGAAATGCAGCATTTCTTTGGAAGTGAAGTACCTGTCCCTCACTCCACAAATATGGATTTGTATTGTAACATGAAAAAACCCCAAACCCATAAAATGAATATTCTTATAAATCTTTTAGCTCCACCTTAGAGTCTTACTGTCCCAGATGGGCATTCTTTCCAAGTTTACATTTGTTCTGATATTCATTATGATGTTTTGGTGGACTGGAATGGTGATATCATCTGAAATCAGTAAAGTCTGGTTTAGAAGAGTAGGGTAACCTTAATTCTATTATTCATTCTTAACATTCCATTTGAATTATCTAAAATATGAATTGCAAGCAGATGAATGAATCTGTTACGGTTCCCCTACACTGGTGGTGCACAGGCTTTGGTACTAGGGCTGGTTTGAGGTATGCATTGGCTTACAACAGTGGTTATTTTACCTGGACTTAATGTACAATTAAATCCATATAGCTGAGGTTTCTTCAGCAGATGGTTTGTATATGTGATAATCTTACATTGCCCAAAGTCCTGAGAGGAAAAAAGAATACATGATTACGATGTTATTTTCACTGGATTTAATTGAATGTAGGTGATCATAGAAATTAAACCTCTTTTTAATGTGCAGTACCTCCAAGAATAACAGATGTGGTCATTAATGGAATGTTTGATCTGGTACCACTCAAAATTTGTCTTCAGATAAAATGGGATCTCCCTTTACAAGAGCCTTTATTTTAATTCTCAGAGTGCACGACTGAGTAGACAATGGAAAACTGAACCAGCCTTCTCAGCAATCCTAGTACTTATTTACAGTGAGATAATACTAGTTAGCAGGGGAGGTGAGGATGTTGGGTTCATAAATCTGTATCAAAAAGTGGAGGGACCTTTTCTTCCTTTTCCCCATCTTAAGAAAAAGAGTAAATGCCTTCTCTTCTCTCCTCGTGGTCTTCCTGCTTTGCCCTTTGTCATAGTAACCAAACTCTCCTATTTAAACAAAGTTTTGGACTGGGAGTTCTCATCCCAGACTGCCTCATTGGACTGGAAAAAAAGAAAGGGCAAGTATTGCTGTATATCACTCCTGTACTGACACTACCAATATTTCACACTGTCATACCACGAATGCTGTGACAGAAAACTGACAAAATACACCGCTGGTATTTCTGGCTCATATACTAGGAACATGCTTAAAAAATAATTTCCAGTGCCCTTTAGTTGTCAGCAAATTGCCCTTAAAACATAAGTTCTGCTACAAGCAGTGGAATGTGGAGGATAGTTCCTTTGAGACGACTAGTTAAATAAAGCTACAGTAATTTGAAGAGTCACCCCCTTTCCAAGCCTTTAGCTTATGTTTAACAATTCTAGAATTAAATAGATTTTATTGTAGAATAAACCATATTAAAGCCCAGTCTTCACTTGGAGGTTTTGTGACACAAATTTCTGGGCAGCTCAGATGAAGATCAAGTTCATGCATTATTGGTGTATGACTCAGTTGGGTACCATTACTTGCCATGGGATAAGTATCACTGTATTCACAGGACTCCCAGTGTTTTCTGGATAAGACAGGGCATTCGGTTTCCAGCACATCCAAAGTTAAGTAGAGGACTGATGAATTTCCCTGGAAGAGAAGTGTGAGTGAAAAAGAGTTCGTAGACAAGAAGTTTGATCTGAGAGAAACTTTTTTTAACGTTGATATGTTTAATCTTTAATGAAGCTTCTCCAGTTCTCTATTAAGGTTTTTCTGAGCTGACGAGTGTAGAAAGGGCTCGGGCTGGAAAGGAGCTTTGGAGGTCATCTCGCCCAGCCACTTGCTCAAGGCAAAGCTAAAACTTCAAAGTTTCAGCTGCGTTCTGTGTATCACCCAGGCAGACGTTCCACAACCTCTCTGGGCCTTGCCAGTACTTAACCACTTTTGCCATGATTTCTTTTAGTCTTATACCTATTCAGAATTTCCCCTCCTGCAGCTGTAACTGTTGCCTCTTATCCTTTGTTGAGAACTCATGAGAAGAGTCTGTTGTTAACCTGGCATTCATCAAGTAGAGAAAATGTCGGTGTTAAAAAGTTGCCATTCCCTCTTTCTGATTTTCACACAGAACACATTGTTCTATTAGGACATCAGTTGTGTAGGCAGCCAATTACATAGCTACATCCATTTCAGATTATCTTAGTGATCAGATCCTCTTTCAGAACTTTGCTTCCCGATCAGTTTATTCAGGGAGTGATGCAACAAAGCCATAATAATCCCTACAAAGTCAGGAGCCTTAGCTCTGAAATTCTTCTAAAATATTCTGTCTCCTGAGCGAATAGGACGAAGAATTAAAATTTGAATTTGGCTGCCAGTGTAATGGGATGTGGTGCTAAGAATTTTCTGTGGCCCACAGAAGCGGTTTTTTATTTTTCTGCAGGGGAATGAATCTCAATTTGGAATGAATTATTAAAACTTCATTCAGCCCTTGTATGGACATTCAGAATGAACACATACGTATTTTATTTTGTCATTTAGATAAAAATCATGCAAAGCCCTTCACTGTGAATAAATGTCCTCAGGTTTTATGAAGTTTCATCCATTCAGGTTCTTTTTTTAGATCGTTTCTGTATACACAAGACCTTGAGAAAGAATTGCTGCAGTCTAATGTAATATTTTTATTAATGAGAGTCCACCAGTGTCATGTTAAGCACTAGTTTTGCAGCATGCATATATCTTAGGATTGTCTCTAATTTTAAAATAGGGGTTAGGTGGCTTGCACAAAGACATATGTTGTTTAATGGCAGAATTGGGAAAAGAATATAATTGTCCTGGACACACTTCCTGCCCACTGGACACATGTTTATTCTCTGCTTAGGGCTAGTTAGTGTTTCTATTTATTTTATAAATCTCAATAATTTCAAACTGCTTGTCAACATATTGGTAAAATTCAAACAGAGAACAGAGACAGTGAGAAACACTATTTTCTGATTTGTATATATGGAAATGCACTGAATGGAAAGGTAAGATAGTTAAGACAGTCTTTCGTAAAACATGCTATTCACTAGGAATCCTCTAAAACTGAAATGACTAAATGTGTGATGCACTTTGTCAACTAAACTTGTGAAATGCTAAAAAAGCCAATTCATCCCTGGCAAAGACTTATTTTCTTCAGCAGAATGTGTTTGGATTCACTAAAGCCTAAAGCAGATCTTGGGCAACATTAAATCTCTACATCCAAATATACAGTAGAAAATTCCTCTGTTCATCTACTGGATAGCTCTTGGTGAAAAAAAAAAATTGTCTTACATGGTGCCTTCTTGGTTGTTTTAAAAGCATCTTGGGCACTACACAAGCCCAGGACTGTTCTGTTCTGGATACTTGAGTATTTTAGGCTTCTAGAACTCCCATGTAAACCCAGTAGAGATCTGGCTGCTGGGAATTGCTCTGCTTAGGTTTCTTAGGGAGCTGATGTGATAGACCTTATGCACACTATTGCATGGAGAAAAATAATGTTTCTGTCTTTTATAAATACATATACACACACACAGATATATATATATATAATATCATCTTGGCAGTGGAGCCAAAAAAAGTTCTTGTACAATAGTGTACATGCTCAGTGTGCAGGAAACACATCTTGTGGCTTTAGATCTAAGAACATGCAGAGACCTTACAGGAAGAATTCTTTGACTGTCAGGTAGATAGAAAGGTCTTTTCTGTTCTTGTAGACTCTCTGTGACAGCTGAAGCTGTGGCCCTGGACTGCAAAGACAGCAAAATTCACTAAGTGTACGAAAGCAAAACATAAGCACGGTAGTCCAGTGGTTATAGCATTCATCTGGAAGTGTGAATCCTCAGTGCTGGTCCCTATTCCAAGTTATGGCTCTAGAGTTTACATAGTCAATAATTGCTTAAAATGTAGAAATGCTGAGATTTTTCTGTTTAGAAACAACTGTGGTTTTTGTCATTCATCCAATGAATTTTGCATGTCTTACCGCCCAGTAGCTCCACTTCACAGGAGTTCACACACATTGCTACGTGGCAGCAGCATTCAAGGACAGGAGACCTGAGGGTTGAAATCTCTGAATGCAGAAGACCACTGATTCCTTCCTAGGTGAGCTCTTTAACTGCCTGGCTACTGCATAAAACTCAACGCTGTCACTCACCACATCCTTGTCTTTGAAAAGCAAAATAGTCCATTGGGTTTTTTGAAATGATACTTGAAGACCTGTGGGAACCCGGGCTTTGGGTCACTACCTGAGCTTTACTTGTCCTAACAGGCAGTACTAAGCAGTTTCATCAAAAACTAGCCTGTTTTTCCTTTTGCCATACTGAGATGTGTAACACTTCCAAAACTGTGTGTCTGGATGCAACTTCACTGTCAAGCAGCCAAAGGGTACCAGGTGCATGAGTAAATCTGCCTGTCCTTGGTCTCTTTTACATAAAGAAATTTTGTATTCCGCTGCTTTTTCTGCTGTCAGTTGTTTTGGCATTTAGGCAATCATTTAGAAATGCTCATGGATCCTCTCTAGGAAGCAGAAATAGAAATAGAAATAGGAAGGAAAAAGGAAATGACTGCTGTGGATTCTCTATCCAGCCCCTCCCCTGTTTTGCAGAGTGGCAACTCCTTTGGCTTTCTCTGCCTTTTTCCCTTCCTGCCAGTTAACCAGCTATCTACAAAATTAGGATAATAAAAAAATACTAGTCTTGCAGCATACATTGATCTAGTTGATGTTAGACATTCACAGATTAAAGAAACCTTCCCAATATAAATTTTGAGTATAACATCTGAATTTTAAGTATAACATCTGAGACCTGACAACAGACAGGACAGATTAATTTCCAGTGTTGTATAAAGCTGTTCAGAACAACTCTTATGCCAACATCCTGCTGGCCAAGAGAATAGAGGACAGTCAGGATCGTTTGAAATCAAGCTTACATGCAATAAATCATGCACAAATGAGTACTGAGGTAGTGTCAATCACAGCTGATTCACTGAATTACACCAACATTAAAAGTAGTAAACATAAGCTTTTAATGACCTGGCTCATTATTTAAAAATCACAGTCTTGTGTAAATCAGCCTTTAAATGGGTACTTACTGTATGTAGTTCATGTGCATCAGCAACACGGAACAAACCAAAAACATAGCCATCTCTGCGGTGTTTGTTGACCAAATCCAGGGCCACTCCTGCATCTGTTTCAATGGTGTTACAGTCTGCAGGTGTAAAGCTTGCTTTGTTTTGGGCATTAGAACACTGCAGTAGTGTTAGAAAAAAAGCTGAAGCTAGAAGCAGCATTTTGTTTGCAGTTTTAGGTCACTTCTGCCCATGCCCTGATAAAGCCAGCAGTCTGCTTTTAAATGAGAACACTCCACCAAAGTTATAAATTAATGCTAAAAGGGCATGGTTTTATATAATTTAAGTGTCATGTCAGACAGTCATTGCCTTGACCCTGGATTAACATTTGCAAACAGCAAGTAAATGATTATATAGTGATTTAGCAGATTTTGAGGAAAGTGGGCCTAATAATACTCTCTGGACTACTCATCAAAGGGCCATCAAAGATTCTTTATGCAAGCATTGTGCAATAAGGCTTTACTAAGAAAAGTACTTATTCTAACAGGGTGCTGCTGAGCCTGGCAGTAAGAAGGCCCAGTTTATGGTGCAGGTGTTACACAACCTTGGTCTTCTGTTTACTGTTAAAACAGTTGAACTGAAAATACGCTGAAATGTTTGTGGTCAAATTATGGTTCTATCCTTATCCTTGTTTTTACAGATCCTTACCTAGCAGGGAACTAGTGAAAGGGAAACAAGGGAATCACCCAGAGTTGGAAAAGGGATAGAGGTCACTCACAGGTTGGTGGTCTGTAGCTTCTATGTGAGTACCTGCTACTCTTCCAGCTCAAGAAAATTTAGAGCAGACTTCTATCAGCTTTACATCATTTCAGACTGGTACACAGAAAGGAACTGGCTTAATACCCATAATCTAGGCATGGCCTGAAGTGATATAAAGCTACCTTTGCATTCTCAATCTGAGCAGTTTTGTGTGCTCTTTGGCTGTAGCAACCTTCATAGACTTCTTTAAAGAATTGATAGTAATTTTTTTTGTATTTACTAAAATAATGCAGTACAATATTAAGATTCATACCTTTCACAGGATACACCAACATCCTCTGCTGCGCACAAAGGAGGAGATGCTGTCTCATTGTATTCAAAATCTTTTATTCAGGATAGTTTAAGACATCAGTAATTGCTTGTCAGGGAGTGGCTGAAGATAGAATACAAAATTCAAACACCAAATAAGAAAATACAAAAATTCAATGTGAGTCCAAAATTGCAAGGTCAGACTCAGATGAGGAAATTTCCAAATCCTGGTTGATGTGAAGGCTGGATTAGCTTCTCACAGAAAAAGGTGCTTGCTGTATAATTGACTTGGGGACTGGAAGCTGGATGATCTTTAAGGTCCCTTCCAACTCAAACCATTCTGTAACTTGGTTTTACATGTTTGTAAACATGTAACTTGGGTTTACATGTTTGACCTTGAAGGGTTTTTTTACTTACTGTTTGAGAAACATTCAGAAATATAATGGGTAATCATCCTCGACCATTACCTCATTTCATTAACCCTTGTTTTAAAAAATTCCACCTTTTAGCATGTCTGGTGTCTATGAAATCATATTTCAAAATGCTTTGTGCTGAAGCAGTGGATTTCTTTTATAGTTCAGGACACAGTTAACAGTTCTCTTGTAGTAGAAAAGCTAAATGGAACATCTTACAATATTAGAACCAGGGGAGCTCAAAACTAGCACAAGTCAGCTGAAAATGGATAAAAACAGTCCCCCTGCAATGGGTAGTGAACTTGTGGAATTTGTTGTCACAGAAAGATCTGGGGGCAGACACAATCAGCAGGGGCAGAAATTGCTTAGGATAGTCCATTGGCAGCTGGTCATTCCATGGATCCTAGAAGGGCTAAGCAGAAAAGTCCTCTTTGAAGTCCCAGGTACAATGATTCTGGGCACTGGAAAAGTACGAGGGGAATGGTTTACAAAGAGGGGCAGGTTGTGTGTTTCTCCTTTTGCCATTGTGAGAGATGAGTACTGGGGTGGATGTACCACTGTTCTAATAAAAATAGGGCATTTCTTTTGGTTTTGCTTTTATAATGTTCCATTATAGTAATTCAGAATCTCTTCTGTAGGATGGCCAAAAAGCAGTGAAATAAGTGCTGTCTAAATAATCAAAGACATTTGAAATACATCTCATCAGTTAAAAATAATAGTCACATCACTGCTGTATTCCAAATTGCACCTCAATTCATTCATTACAATACTGGTTAATTTTTTCAAATGGGCAGTCATACTGAAGAAAGGCATTAGATTAGATAATATATAACATAATTCCCTTAGCTGTCTGTTGTTTACAGATTGTTAGTTCTTTTTTTCCTTTTTTTTTTCTGGGCTGTTCATTGTGACACTGATCATTTCCTTGACAGTAGCTTATGTATGTTTTAAATATAAAATAGAAACAGTCTGAATAAACAGTGGGAAATGTACAATTTCTGCAAAACTGACTGTAGAAGTAAAGTAAGATTCTGCTCTCACTCTAGAGAGTTTTGTCCTTGGTTTCTTTGGAAAAGAAAGACTGAACTCTGTTATCAAAGTGCTGCATGGACAAGCACTCCAGGCACAGTAAGAGCAGTTAATTAAATATTGGTTGTTTTTAAGTCAGTATAATGTGTTTTTATCACTTCTCCTCCTGTTTGGTATCTTTTTAAAAACTTACTTTGTTTTTATATGTATTACTTGTAAGTTTTGTGTGTTGCTTTAATGAAGCCATCTCTGTAAACAGATTGCTGGAAGGAATAGGGAGCTGTATCCAAACATGGCATTTCTCATGAGTAGCTTATCAAAACCTTGTTTATGACTTTTACCAAGGCTTGACTTGCAACAGTAAGAGGTGATCCACATTCAGACCTTAAGGATATGGTAATAAACATCCATCCTAACCCTCTCCAGAGATCTGGGAGAATACATCAAAAAGAGGCTTATCTTCCCCACTTGAAAAACAGCATATGAAATGCTTAATAAATAGAACTTTATTCTAGGGGGATAGGAAAAGGAGAACTGACACATAAAGGATGTAATATGCGATAACCAATTACTCTTTCGCTAAAGTACAGCCATAACAATTTACAGCTATCCCTGATTTCTTGGGGGGACAGCTGCTGTGAGCAGACTGTTCTCTGCCTTCTGTGGGAGCTCTGCTGTTTAAAATGTATTTGGTTGGCCAAGGATGAGTGTAGGAGAAGGATAGTCAAGGAATCTAAACAAATACATAGCCAACATATGCATAAATAAGCCAGAAAATCTTCTTCAGTACCCTTTTAATATTACTGCCCCTTTTTTTTTTTTTGCATTCATGAGGCCTCAACTGTATTCCAGGGTAAAGCCTTGATAATATCTGATAAAAATGTCAACAGTCCTGGAGGTCATTGACCACTGGTTATCTGTGCCTCAATAAAAAACACTGTCCATGTGAAACTGGAATGCTGGGAAATAAATATCAGACCAGACTTTAGCTGGACATGGCCCAGATAGCAAGATATTAATACATGATATAATATCATAAGATCAATGAGTGTTGAAAAACTGCAAAACAAAATTGAAAAGTGAATAGAGAATTCCACCCACTTCTCATCTCCAATGACTTTGAAGGGCTTCCTGGTCTTACTGGCCTGTTCTCTACTGGACAAGGAGAAGCAGCACTTAACAATTCAGTCCTGGGAGAGGAGAGAGCATTTGGGGTGTGACTGGAGGGACACATGTTGCTGCCACTGCTTTGCTCAGATTGGCTTGAAGCTGAGACCAGGCCAGAAGATGGAGAGGTTTGGCACTACCTGGGCATGTTTTTAAGAGGATTTGCTGCAGTCCTGTCTCATAGAGTCAGTGTGTGGAGGTCAGACAGAGTGTACCCTGTGTCCTTATCTGCCCATGTGGGTGTGCTGGAGGGAGAACACTGCAGTGCTGCCCCACTCACAGATGGGCATAAATCTGCTGAATCAGCAGCAGGATTTGAAGTCTTGATGACTAAACATTACCAGCTGTTAATAATATCACTGCCATATGGGACTGCCGCAGTATCCAGGTACATGTCCTGAGGACAAAGGAAACACAGAAACTGTACAACTTCAGTCTCCTACTTGCACTTCAAGAATTTAATCTTAGACATCAGTACCGGGACTCAATTATGGTAAATGTTGGCAGTGGCCTCGATGGCACTGAAACTGTGTAGGGGACTCTGTGCTAGACCAGCCACAGCAAATAAAGGCCAAAGAAAGATCCTGACTCTGCACTGACCACTGGTGCTTTGTTGATCTGCACTGGGGATACAGTTACTGCTCAGTAAACACCCCTTCTGGTGTTTATTTTTAAATTGGAGAACTCTTTGAACCCAAAGTCCAGATCTGAGCTAGAGAAAATATTGATTTAAATGTCACTTCTGAGCCTCATCTGAAGAATAGGCTACATGGTATCCAAATAGAATGCTCAAAACTGTGCATCCAGACTTTCTGATGTCCCCTGTAACTCCCTTGCTTATGTTCACTCAATTTTGCTCCAGTTTTGTATGTTCATATAAGCCTCAGTTGTGTCATTAAGCTGATGGAGCCTCACTGAGATTAGAATCAAATGCAAACAGTTAATAAAAAGGAGCGTGTTCTAAAACAGCCTGCATGGGAAGTGTGGTGATTAACTGAAAAGAGAGGGGAAACCAGCATTTTGAAAATCCCTGGAGGGTGACAGGCTGTTGCCCCAGTGCCCTGCCCTCTGGTGCACCAAAGCCAGCTGTGGGTGCTCTGTGTGAGGACATGGAGCAATGCCTGGTGCCCCCAGTTTTGCAGATGGCAAATCAGTGATTCCTGTGCAGGGAGGTAGAACTCACTGGTCATGTTAGAGAAACCTGAGCTGGAAAAGGTGAAACTTCCCCAGGGAAAACCAAGGTGCTGTAATTCGGTGATTTGATAAAAAGAGGAATGCTGACACAGCCTAGAGCTTCTACTGCGGTAAGAATTGGATAGAATTTGAATTTTAGGATTTTTGGAAAACTACCCAATTTGGAATGTATTTCTACTCTGAAATGAATGAATGAAATCAAAATATATTGAAATTTCTTATGATGTGGGATTGAAATGGAATAATTTCTGGCTCAGTTGATGTGTTTCACACATCACGTTTTGACTTTTTTTAATCTTTAAACCAATTAGATTTCTCCTTTATATCAAATTTATGTTTATAAGAGTTCATTTGCAAAATGAAAAAGCAAACATAGTTGTCATGAATATAACTCCATACAGTATTTCAATATTATTTTTTCCTCACTCAAAATAAAATAATACTTTTCTTTATATCTTATTTATAGTAATAAAATAATACATTTTAATTGAATTGCACAATGCCAGGATTCTTTGACAAAACCATAATTTTTTGTTGAAAGGCTCTTTAAATGGAGAAATTATGCAGGATCTCTAGGGATGATAGAGTATCATAAAAGCTTCAGAAACAATAATATTTTATTGATTTTGTTTTGAACAAGTGGTTTTACAGATCTGGTGGCAACTAGAGAAAGACTCTGTGGTCTCATATGAGCCCCATAATTATTGCAAATATCAGTGTACTCCTGGCCACAAATTACATTTCTTTCCTATGTTCATTCTTTTTCTTCTTCTTGTCTTCTCATTTATTTATATTTGTTATTGTCAGTACTATTACTATGTCTGACTTCAATGAAATTGATTTTTCTTAGCTACAGGCTGTGGAGTGTCCCTGTGGTTTTTATTATAAAGCAATTAATATGACCTATCTCAAGAAAGAATTAGGCTGATTTTGTAAATCATCTTTTTTCCTGCACAGCAGGGTCAGTAAAGCATAAGAATCTGAGTAGCCTGGGCTTGGTTCTCCAGCAGCCAGAGCTACGTGCAGAGCTTTCACTTGTGGGTACCCTTTTCCATGTGCTTTAAGTGAGTGTAAAGCATTAGGAAAATAATAATCTTTCTTGAGATCTTCTCTGGAAGATAAAAATATAGGCTAAGTTCATCACATTATAAATAAGAAATTAAGGCACAGAATAACAAAACCTCTCACTGGTGTGACTCTCTGAGGGCCCTGAGAGCATCCCTTCTCTGGGAGGGTTGGCTGCCAGGGCTCTGGCATATTTTTTTCTCTGATTCCTTTGAGCTGTCTCATCCTTGCAAGTTCTTCTACTTCCTCTCCCTGATGGGAGGCATTTGAGAATTAGAAGCCAACTACTTTTGTTGGAAAATGCTCCAGCTAAATTTCTTTTTCTAATCTATTCTTGTGCTTTCTTAAAACTGAGAACTCCAAAGATGAAGACTGTAATAAGCAATTTATTTACTTGAAGATGTTACACAAATTGAAAGACTGGGTTGCCACTGTGGCTGTTATTTTGTTACAGATAGCTGAGGTGGTTGGATGCTGGCTAGACTGTGGTAGGCTTTCTAGTTATCAAAGGATGAAGGATGCCATCCATCTGCTTTGCTTCTCCTGGGCACGAGTCTGATAGAGAAGGTTCTTCAGGAAAAGGGAGAATAACTGGTCCAGTGACTGGTTTGGTCAAGTCTGGTTTGTTTACTTGAGTCTTTTCTCCATCAAAACTGGATGTAGATCCTACAGCCTTAGGTGGAACTGGCTTTTCATCTTTATGTTCATTTTGACTTTCTCTTAGGCTATAGAAACTGATGTCCTCATTTGAAGGGGGTAGAATTTTAACCCAGCCCACTGTTTTTTCCAGGTGTGGGGAGAAAGGCTCGGCTTCTGAATGGGAAGCTTGTTGATTCTGGCTGGATTTTCCAGGTGTCTGATTAGCTTCCTGTTTCTCCTCTTCAGTGGCAGGATCCTAAATAACAAGGAATAAACATTATCTGTATTGAAGCTCTTCCAAATCCTTTCAGATATGATCACCCGTCACACTAAGGATCTGCTGCAATTCCAGTTTCTCAAGACCAGCTGCCAGGGGAGATGGGTGCGTGAAACTTGGGTAACTACAGTTATTGCCCCTTGCATTCCCTTTGTGGTTTCCAATTTCTTTGTAGAGCATTCTGGACACATTCTGTATGATTGTCTCTATACTTACTCTATTGCCTTTTATCCCCCTTAACAGCAGTCTGTTCGATCACGAGACAGATTTCTTCCTGATCTGGCCTTATCACTTCCTTGAAGCACATCTCTTTGTGAATAAGAAAACTTAAAAATTGGCTTTCAGATGTTCAATAGTTGTTTTGTAAAGGGGTATTACTCTTGCAATATTAATGTTAGATCAAGAAATACCTTGTGACTGTAGATTTCACAGGATACTGTAACAAACTTTTCCATGCGGCTGTTTACTACAGAGCCTTTGCAGAATCCGATTTGCTGGAAGAAGAAAGTACAAGCATTTTTTCACATTGTAGCATTGATACTAAGCTCCTATCTTGTAAAACAAGTGATTATGAAAGGCTGAATAGTTATAGCTTCTAAGTGTATTTGTAGGGATAAACAGCTTGGGCAAACTTTTATTTTGGGATTGGCAATCTTACAAAGGCAGGCAGCATTTTGAAAAAGGCTTTGTGTTTGCAAAGGAGAGTTAGGTAACACAATAGTAAAAATAAGCTGGCCACTTAAGGCCAAACTACAACAGCTTGCTTATGTTCTGCTGCAGCAAAATATCCCTATGCAGGCAAGTTGCGTATGGAACGTAATATCATTTTCCACACAAAACCAATTTCACATCATATTAGTGAAAGAAACCATGAAAAAAATGTTGTTTCTAGTAGTTGTGTTTGTACTGGGCTGTACATGGCTTGGATCTCAGTTAAGATGGAGCTTGAAATGTTATCTCTTGACAACATGCCCATTTAGTCCTCCAGATTTTTGTAGAATTTTTTCCTTAGTTCCTAAGTGCTTTCCTTAGCTGACCTAATTGTAGTATGAATATACTACTTAAATGTTGTTTGTGATTTATTATCTGTGTCTGTTTCCTTGGAAGAAATCCTTAAGAGCCATTCAGTTTTGTAAGGTGATGGCTACCTCACCTTTCCCTGGATGGCATTTTTTTCTCTTTTCTTTGTTCATGGATTTCTAGGTCAGAATTCAGAACTTTTACTGAAATGTTTTCTCTATTCTAAAGCAGTCTGTAGAGCTGCAAGACAGGAATGAGCTACAATCCATAAAAAGATGCCTGTGGGTTTTGGTTCTTGTCTGCAAAGAGCCAGGGTGATATATACTGAGTATTCACTGAGGAGTCAGAGTATTTGGAAAAGAGGCGTTTATACAAGGGAAAAAGTACTTACAGCTGCTTCCGATGGAAGTGGCTCACACTTGGAGATGTCAGCAACTGTGTCCTTTTTGGAGCAGGATGTCTCCTGAATCAAAAACTCTACAAAATATGCAGGACCAACGACCCACTGTAAATGAGAGGCCAGTGGCAATTAGACCCTGTGCATGTGTCAGGAAGAATGAAGAATTCTACTGACCTTGAAAAAGATGTGAAACTCCTGCTAAGTCTGGAAGGAATAGGTTATACTTGGGGCATTACTGTTAGTTGTGTTACAGGAGAATATTTTTTTTTTGCCAGTGCTGCTCTATTGCCTGGTCAATTTTTACTTCTTATATATGCACAGTAACTCATGGATTAGCTATAGGTGAAGTGAGTTTGGTTTTCATCATAAGTTTAGCATCCACGTAGAACTACATATCCAAATACCCTCTTCAGTGCCTTGTTCATAATTTCTGGCTGTTTTAAATGAACAGGATCAATTTACTATTTCTGAAATCAGGGTTGGTAAATGGAAGCCATGAAATGATGTATTGTAGTAATATCTGACAGTTTGAGACAAAGAGGGAAAGCCACTTTATTATCTGTACATAATGAATTTTAGAGAGACCAGATAATACTGTGGTAAACAAACAGGGCTTAGCCATGAGATCATTAACTCTCTATTAGTCTAAAGTCAGTTTTAAACCATTCTACATAAAAGTATTCTCTCTACTATGCAGATACAAAATCAAAACAATCTGTAAGACATAACAAATCACAGAACAGGAGGATCCACACTTCTTGAGGGCTGAAACAAGTCAGATGAGCCTTGGCTTACCTGCATTGAAGCTCTTGTGACATTGAGGACAGAAAAATAATGAGTTTGTTCACTCTCTTTGTTGAACTTGGCAAGACTTTGAACAGCAGCATCCAAATATTCGGGCTTAGTTGGACTGTCATCAACTGGGCAGTCAGGACATACTGACCAAATATATCTGGATGGAACTTTTTATTCAAGAGGAAAAATGTCATTAGAGAAGGCAGAACCATAAGAGCATGTTGATAGGGGAGGTCACTATAAATGCCCCTACATCCCCCAACTCTACCCACTTGTCCTCCACTCCCTTGGACTACAATATGTAGTTTTCATCCCTCAACAATTTTGAATCGTTATGTATTTGCAGACCCATAAAAATGTTGCAGTGGAGGCAGAGACACTGAAGGAAAAGGTTCAGTCTATTGACAGTGGGTTTGCTGTTTTTAGTTGCCTTCCATAAACCCATAAAAATGCTTTTTAGTTCAGAGGGTAAATGCCTATATAAAGAGGTTAAAACAGTTATTACTGAACTTCTCTGAGCTGCAGGACCTCACTGGCCTTATGATCACTGACTTGAGAAAATCAGGGCAGCTGAAGCTAGAGTGGTGTCATAATTACAATTAAAATTTAAAGTAAGACCATTTGACAGAGTGTTTTTCCAGTCCTTTAATAAAGAGTGTGTTAAAGACATACCTGGTTGTAAAGTGCACTCATAAGTATTGAGATGAGAAATATTTCTTGCCTGATTAATGTAGATAATGGCTTTGCATTGACCATAAACCTGAAACAACATAAACATTTAGAAACAATTAATGTTGCACCCTTTGCACTAATCATGTAGTACCTAGACAGTGAGTGGTTAATTTTCTTCTTGCAATCATGAAATTCTTTTCAAGACAAAAGTCTTGTTAATGCTCAAATGACAGTGAAGCACATTTCTAAGCATCTCCTTTTGAAATAAAAGGATGGCTTATTCCCTGGTGTAATTCTGAGCTATGCAGGTGCAGTGATTGTCTGCAGGGTTGCCTACACAGGCCAGACCCCCACCCTGAGAGCTGGGTCTGTGTTTAGAACCAAGAGAGTTTAGAATGGAGATCAGCTCAGGGTGTCTGGATCCAGTCACCTGTCTTCCACCTTCCCTCTTTCCTCTATAACCATAAGGAAAGTGGAAGGAAGGACCCTAAATCAGTTTTGTGGCACAGTAGGGTCACCCTTGCACACGAAAAACCTCTGACTTTATGGCAGAAAAAATACTGGCCTATCCACTGGGCCTGTATATTTAAGAGTTGAAAGTGTATTCTCTGAGAGCTTCTTAAATATTGCTACCTGCGTGATCAAGGCCTCTGGACATCCATTTCTTGGCTCCACTGAAGCCACATTGACCACATGGGCTTTGCACCTTTTTCCTGCTGAAAATGCTGTAATGAAAAGTGAGAATTCTTTTTTTTTTCCTAGTTTTTCATTTTAAAGCTGAAACCGATTGACCTTAGAAGCAGTCCAGGACAATGTAATCATAACTTCTTTTTTTTTCACGTTACTTCTTTCTTGTCATTCTTCATTTTATAAGTTGTTTTTTTTTTTTTCCATGTTCAGAATCATTTTGGTCACCTGTAGCAACAGTCTTAGACCACTTTCTGTCTTTGCAGCTTATCTTGCTGAGCTTTCCTTTTTCTCCTTTTTCAGCGCAATTTTTGCAAAGTTGTCAGAATAAAAGTGGAATTAAACTAAACCAAAAATCACATGTTATATAAAAGTGAATTTCTTTTATTCCCTTCTTGACAGGCTGTCTTTAAAATAAACTCTTACAGGGTTGCTATAAAAAGTAAAACATTATTCTAAATAGGGTCCTAGCATGGCTATTTAGTTCAGTCTGCTTATTAACTCTAGTTGAAAACTTTCTTTTAATTTTCATTTTCTAAATAAATCTTACCAGTCTATAAACTGATTAAAAGGTACAGAGTAAAACTGTGGACCTTAAAAAATGGGGTTTGATTTCTTCTAAGCTCTGGTGCCCACTAAATATGCATGTGCAGGGATTTTGCTGTCATCACTAGTACCTGAGTAACCCATCACATCTGAGATCAAACAGGAAAATAAAATCCTTACAGTTGAGTGAGCAGGTCTGGTGTTACAGTTCTTCCACAGTTTTTTGCTGAGTACGTGGCATTCAGTATCTACCACATCCAGGATGAGATAGAAGACGGAACCAGTGATCTCCTGAAAACAAGAAACAAAAAGGTCACATCCCAGTTTTGTATTGAATGAAGCAGTGACATGTAAAAGGGAGAGATGAGAAAGAGAGAACCTGCAGGTGAGATGCACAGATATCCTGAAACCTGAACATTCTGTGGGACAAAAGTGGCAAACCAGGTGAGATTTAGGCTGTGTTAGAACAGGCCTGGTGATGCATCGAGCCAGCTTTAATTAAAGAACAGCAATTTAGTCAGTTTTGTCCTTCTGATTCTAGTACCAACCAGAATCCAAGAGTAAGGACTAAACATGGTGATGTTTTCTTTGTCAACTGCATTTTCTTATCAGATTTGAATGGGAGGTTATTTTGCCTGCAATAAGAATGAGACAATAAATACCACAACTAATAAAAAACTCCTAACATGGAACATTACCAGTAAGCATTAGAAAGAGAAATATCTTATTTCTTAGAGTAGTGTCTTTTTCAAGTATGGATACTTTGCTCTTTCTGTAAAGAGGTGATCGGTTTCGTTGATGCTTAAATATTCTCTCAGCTCTCATAGAGTGCTCTGAGAGACCTTGCATATCCAGTGGGTGTCTCTGACTCACTTAAATCTTCAGTCCTGTGCTTGACTTCTGAGCCTGTGCTTAAGTCCAGAAACCTTTATTCAGTTCACTGCAGCACAGGGTGCACAAAGCAGTTCAGGCTCAACTTTTGGGCAAACATCTTTTGATGTAAGAGGAAGGAAGGACTGAAAGTACAGCTCCATATATCCAGTGATTACACCACGTGGTGCAGGAGGATGAGATGCTGCATGGTGCAGCTCCTCATTCTGCTTCCACTGTAGATACGGGTAAGCACCTTTGCTGCATATTTATCAAGGATACAGATTAGTAGGATCATGTTTTATTTATATCTTTAGTGGAAAGCTGAAAAGAGGACAACTGTCATTTATACATCCTAAAGAACTTAGAAGTGAGTGTTAGCTGTGTGTTTAGACTGAGATTGTGCACTTGCTGAAAAGGGAGAAAAACCCAAACTGAATGAGAGCAGTGTTCATTCATCCCTGACTGATTTCACTGGTTTGTGGAGAAAACAGTAAATGGGGCAAGTCTTGTAGAAGTCTAGCAAGACTTCTTGCAATTTTGGCTTTAATTTTGGTTTCTGTTTAACCCTGACTAAAGACAAGTCAATAGGGCATCTAAAGGCTGGAGTACTGCTGGCTTCTTTGGGTTTATACTGCTTAGAAAACTGCTAAGAGTTGTCTGTTCTGGAGTTCTGAGAAGACTGAGGGATAAAAACTATTCTGATCACATACTATAGAGATTGATGGGATAGTGATTTTATGTGAGCTCTAACATATATACCTGTAATACTAAACCCTTCAAATATAGAAGAGCAAAACTAATAAAAAATAAATATAAAGAATGATTAAATTGTTTTGTTAGCTTTGTCTCTAACTTCTATTCTTACATATGCAACTTCTCATGTTTTCTATGATTTTTTTTATTTTCATATCTTCTTTTTTTTTTCTCTGTTAGTGTTCTATGAAGTAATCTGGTAATGTCTTGCACTGAGCTCTCAGGGTTTGCCTACACTAATCCCGAAGTTTAATTATAAGTGTCATTTTGAAGGCTGTGAAAAGATCAAAAGCTATTTTGACAGAGTGGCTCTGAGGTTCAGCTGTGCTGTGCACAGTGGCACGGCAGTATCCCCACACCTGGCTGCACAGACCCTTCTTTGGCAGGAACTAACCATCATTTTCTGTTTACATACAAGGTATCTAAATACCATGCTGATATGTCTCCTTAATATAATAGCTAATGTAGCTTGAATCAGTAAACAGAAAGTAAGACCTGTTAAGCAGTAATTGCTGTTTGCTGAAAATGTGGTTTTGAGTAATGCAGCATTTGGTACAAGCTTGTAACCGTAAATATATCCTTTGTTCCTGCATGAAGAAGAAATAGCCAAGAAAAATATGTATCTTTAAGGAATCCCATAGCTGGAACTGGTGACTTGAGCTATCAAGTTGGTTGTTAAAGTATTTGGAGGCAAAAGTACACACACACCTCATTAAAGAAATGATCTTATCATTTGTGTTTGGTGTTAGATGGGCTTCCTGAATCATGAATATTGATTGTAAAGCTTGATGGTCTTGGAAACACTACATGCAACCAGGGCAGACCAAACGTATTTCTTGTTGCCTGTAGCTCTCTTGTATAATATCAGCTCTACTTAAGCAGATGAGGTTATTATAAAATCTGCACATCTTTTGGTCTACCTGCTTCTGTATGTATCACACTCCACTGGGGAAAGGATAATTTGGGGCTTATTTAGAGCTCAGCAGATCACTGAAGGTTTAATCATCCTTATTTTAATTTTCATTAGAAGACCGTTATGCAAAGGCCTTTTGATATCTGCTTAGTATTGAATAAAACTTTCTATATCTTTTCTGCATTGCCGTAAAAATCCTTTCCTCAGCACTGCTGGTGCCAGGCTGCAATATGTGCTGGGCAGCCTGGGAGCCACAGGAGATGTGGCAGCAGGGTGACCTGGTGCAAGGGAAAGACATGAAATATTTTGGCATGTTTTGGAATTTTGGTTAAGTGCCTGTCAGTGAAGTTAATCATGAGTACCTTGTATGAAAGCAAGCTCTGTCCTACTTGCATATAAGTTAATAACAGATGGCTCATTAGTTTCAATTAGAGCAAAACTGAACCACAGGTTGCTTAAGGGCAGATTTGAATTTGAAGTAACTTTGAAAATGTTTTTATCCTCAGTACTCGTTAAGAAGTGGGAGGAAGGACCACTGACTGGTAAAAATCCCAAGGATTTCTTTTGATTTTTGAGAGGAATAGAAGGTTGCATAAGGCTTTTACTGTCCATGAACCCCCCTGACATGGCTGACTGATCCTTGTGTACTCAGTTGAGCAACAGCAAAATTGGACAAAAGGCTGAGATTGTCTAATTTGTTATTGCAATGTCTTGAAACACCTTATTTACAGGATAAGAGCATATTCGATGAAAAAAATAAGAAAGAACAAAAGTAAATTTACCCCCCAAATGGACAAAGGGTGCTTGCTCTAAAGCAGTAAGTTAAGGCTCTAGGGAATTGAGTGACAGACCAAATCACAAACAAGGACCAAAATTCTCCTGTGCTGAGATGTGCTTGGCATAGTTGAAGGAAGAGGCATGGAGATGAATGATTTACAACATGCCTGCACTCTGAGGTGGTCATAGCAGGGGCTTTCATTATTATCAGCAGGAAATAGCCTGAGGAGGGGGGTCTGAATACCAAACTGCATGACTGGTGAAGTGGGTTCTGGGCCAGCTCAGAGGCAGCATATGTGGAAAAATTCTGAAGAGACGTGATCCAGTTGCTTATTGGGCACATTCTGTCACCTGAGCAAAGCAACCTGGAGAACACAGTGCAAAGCCCAGCATAGGGGGCATCTTCAGCTGTGAGGTCTCGGGTTGCTGGAGGCCACAGCCTGTCTGCAGAATCCATGTCCTTGTAAGGGCAGCAGGAAGGAGTGTCAAAACCTTGCCAGTACAGATCTTTAAACATCTGGCAATGAGCCTGATTTTCATTAAGAGTTCAGAATTTGGCCTTTCAGATAAGCTTATGGGAAGTGAGTGGGCCTGGCAGGGAATGTTAGTAGCACGCTTCCACAGTGCGTTATCTGTTGTGGGCCTTGTGAACTCATGTCCCTAGCTAGATCCAGTAGAGTCAGCTATTGTAACACAAAATAGTGATGAATTAAGCACACATCAAGAAATAAGATACTTGAGGAAATGTGAGTGATATTCCATAGGTATTTGCAGTGTATTTTTTGCACTTGAACTGGTTTCAGATTTCTTCTGGAGAGTGAGTCATCTTTTAGTGGTCTATAAAGGAATTCTGTGGTCCCAAGCAGGATGTGTTTACACCTGTTAGTGCTTACATCTTTTGTGCAAAACACACGATGACTTAACAGCCTTTGCACTCCAACTGCTCAAGGCAGCGGGAAGAAGGTGTAAAATGAAATTAAATCAGAGTAGTGGTGTTTCATATCAAATTTGAACTGATGCCTGGAGCTATTCCAGGGGCAGGCAGCAGAGAGTCATGACTGAGATTTGCTCTCTAATTGCCCCCAGTGGTGATGAAACTGTTTCTAGTGCATGAAGTTGACATGGCCTCCGGAGTCCTGTGAATGGAACTTTACATTTGCCTTTTGAAATATTTCTTAATTCAAAATAGATATTTCTAAGCAATAGCGATAGACACGGGGCTCTCCGCGGGAGAAACAGATAGAGAGCGAGAGGGTAATTTACCTGAGGTTGTTCTCGGACGCTGGAAATTCGGTAGAGGCTGAGTATGTAACCCTCTGCTCGGTCAGCGTTGATCTGGCGGAGAGCCAGGTCTGCAGCCTCCTCGACTGCCGCGTCGTCGCAGCGCGGGGAGAGCAGCGCGACCGCTGCTCCGCGGGCAGGAGGGGCGGCAGCGCAGGAACAGAGCGCCTGGATGCCAAAGAGCATCGGAACAAGCCAAACCATTCTGCTCAGGGAGCTGCTGCAGCAGATCAGAATGGTCAGTCAGGATGGAGGGGCTGGGACCCGAGTGAAACCGCACACTTTTGTAGTGGAGCCATGTCTCTTTATAAACTTGTGCCCTCTTTTTATTACACGCTGACCATCACCTTTAAACCTACAGCTGCAACAGCAAACACTAAGTCAATGATTACAGGGTTTTGCAGAAGTGTTGTCACTCCCTCTGAGACCAGATAACACTTTCTTCTTTTGCCTTTCCATCTCCGATTCAGACTTCACTGGGCAGATCATGCAACTTTGACCTTATGGCAAGGGACAAGAATACACACACAAAGCTGTTTCCTTAAGAAACCTGATTTACTTAAATAAGCTTATATGCAGGACAGGTCTGGCTCCATCTGTGTTCTGTCATTGATCCAGCTCTTCTTACAAATAAGACAATGACAAAGGTCTCAGTAATTTGAAGGGGAAATAGATGAGCCCCACAAGGCTGACTGATTTTGCCCTTTGTGTTTGTTAAATGCCAGTTGTAAACAAATATATTGACTCCATTATATGCAGTCAGTTTGGTTGTGATAGAAAGCTTGGTTTGGATTTATTCTGTGAGCATTTCTACTCAGCTGGATACCCACACATGAATGGTACCCCTTAGAGGTATTGAGACTCCTCAAGGGTCATGGAAAGTTCTGCCTGGAGAAACTTTAGTTTGAAATGACAGCACTGTGCCTTGTGAGTAACCTGTCAGGAACTCCATACTAGAGAAAAGGGGGAATAACTTCACAAGTGGCTGTTATCTTCAAGATCTGGAGAAATGACAATGACCATTACTTGGGGAGGATCCCAGTGAATGCCACTAAGGGGCAATTCTGCAGTGTTTCATCTTGAAGGATATCGAAAACTTGGTTACCATTTCCCTGGCCCTCGTTTTCTGTCACAGGACTCTGTGATCACAGCTGTCTGCTGGAGGACACCGAGTACCTTTCGGTTTGAGGGCTGTGTGGAGTGAGGAAGGAAAAGTGCAAATGAAGGGCATAATTGTCTCTGTTTAATACTACTGTAATGGTTGGTGAGGTTAAAAATGTATATATTGTCACTTTTTTTACCAGTCCAGCAGTGTTCAAAGCATGTTCCTCTGTGAGACAGCAGAACCTCTCCCAGGGAATGCCCACAGAGACCTAGGAAGGATTATACATACCAGAAGACCTACAATAGCATTGGGACTGAAACTCTTCTTTTTTTGGTGACAAAGGTGCAAAACACAGATAGCAGGACAGAAGGGGCACATGGCTGCCAAAATGAGCCCTCTCATATGTCACCAGTTGCTTTGCAAACTGAGGGTGAGGGATAATGTATGGACTGTATCCTGGAGGGAAGGGATACAAGGAGTGAATATTGAGAAACACTGCTGTAGCCATAGTACAGGAACAGCAGAAGCAGCAATGCAGACTCACTCACATTGTTCCTTGTGCCTGGGGATGCTTCCCCTGCGGCTAAAGGATAATAACTCATTTTCTTTATCCTTACAGTGCATGGCATTTCTATGGAGATGGGTGCCAGTTAGTACTGGCTGGGTCGGTGCTTCTTATAATAGGGAATTGTTATATCCCTGACTCTGTTCTTTGTATTCTTCCTCTGACTGGAAAGGAAAAAATTTCTCTGTTAAAGTAGCTGACCTCAAAACATGGACACATCTGGGAAATCTGAGCGTGTCCAGCCAAAGCAGCACATGAAGTACATATGCTTTTGCAAAACAGGGTTTGAAAAAGCTGAAAAACATTGTCAGCCAGCAATGCAGACCTGGCAAAACTGTTCATGCTGCATTTCAAGGGAGGAGGCATTTGTATTTTATGTATCTCCATTTCATAGTTCTCATTACCCAGAGAATTTATTATTAAATGCTGAATCTGTTACTAAGACCCAAGTGCATGAATATGGGGCTATACTGGGGGGGGGACAAAGTGATTGCTTCAAAGCAGTCATGGAAAATGGATCTGTAAGAGGGCACAATGTGTCTTTAAGAGTGCAGGCATTAAGGAGAAAAAAGATGAAATGCAGCAACCAACTGGAATGCACAGAGAAATTCTACTTTTTTTTTCTTCCTATTTTAGGAAACAATGGAGTAGTTACACCAGGTGTAGGAGAACATCTGTGAAGTATGGAGGCCACAGATGTTTCTGCTACATTGCTTTGCTTTGTGTCAGTGGAAAAGGCAAGAAGAAAATGCGGCATTTCTGGAGTTCAGAAATCCTCATGGGCAAGGAGCCCTTTTTAAACATGCTCTTTCTACAATCAGATAATTTTCTAAGCCTGGAAAACAGTCTTCCCTGTAACTTAGTGCCTACTTCATTATATACAAGACAATTTTTATGGTTTAGTTAAGGTGATTCCTAGTTTTAAAAAGTCTTATGCATCTGGTGTTACAGTAATGCAGATCGTAAGAGTTGCTGTTTCATTAAATCCTGTACTGCACCTCGTGCAGTGAGGTGGAAGGACCACCTACCTTACTACATCAAGGCATTTCTACAGCTTAATATAAGCACTTGCTGAGGGAATGGCAGAATGGACTGGAGTCACTGCCTTACAGAGAAGCAAAAAATCCCTGATCAATTGACTGGCAGTGACTGGTGCAAATGCCTGAAACACCCTTACTGCAAAACTCAGCCTTTGCTTGAAATGTGAGAGCTGCTGCCTTCATGGGCAGAGCTTGTCCTCAGTGTGTTTGCATCACATTATATGGTTTATAGAGTTTGGGCTGATTTCCCTTTCTCTGTCCTCCCCACACACCCAGCTGCAGTGCTGCTGCAAGTGCCTGTGGCTTTTCCTTTCCCCAGTGACACAGCACTGCAGAACCTTTCTGTGTCCCGACCTGTTGCACTATCACCCAGAGCAAATGTTGGTTGTGTTGCTTACTGAATACTGGAAGGTTGTAACTAGGAGAACAGGATAGGTTATTTGAAACACTTCAGAAATGACATGTGTTCTGCAATTTTTGCTGCCTGCATGATAATTATCTTGTAGCAAGTGCTGTTTCTGGTTAAAGATTCATGACTGTCTTTGAGACTGCTCCCCAGGGCCTGCAGAATTCCAGTCTGGCTGGCAGTAAAGATCCTTCTGGCCCCAGCCCCTTATTAATTCTCTACCTAGAATAGATTTTGCCTCTAACATGTACCAGAAATTCAGGGAAGATTTGACTGCTAGGACAATGGTAAATTGCCATCACTGTCTGGATCCTGTTATATGAGATACGTATCTGCAGTATATTTTTTATTCCCTTGAATTGGCATTTCCTCATATGCACACGGGCCATACAGGACCCCATGGCCATACTACACCTGTGTGTCTGCTGGAAGACGTGTAATTGGCTGCAAGGATTGATGCTTTCAGCCTGCTAGCAATGAATGCGTCCTGATTCTCTGCCCTTCTCGTAGACATGGATGCTCTTATACCATGTCCAAAAGTTTTGAGGTACTTCTGGTGGATATTAAAAGTAGGTACATGCTAGGAAACATTGCAGGTGGAAGAGAAAAATACATTTTTTCCTACCACTTCTTTCGTGTTATTGGTGTGTGATCAAAAGAAAGGACTGGCCTGATTTTCCACAGTGCTCAGCACCCACACATCCCAGTGAAGCTGATGAGAAGAGCAGGAACCTACTGTTTTTGAAATCAAGCCCAGAATATGACTCATGATGCTGTGAAGGAGATACTTCACAACTAAATGAAAATATATACAGATAGAAGGTACCAAAGCACTGAACATTTTATTGTGAAGTAACCTTTTGGGTGGTGTTTCTTTCACAAAGCTACAACTGTTGTATAGCTCTTACAACAGTTTCATTGAAACTACTGCTATATGTTGAAATCACCTATATTTTGGAGCAGGCCTTTGCAAGATGCTGGCCATGGCTCTGCTCTCTGGAGGGTAGAACTCGTTTGAGCTCAGAGTGAAATGGTCTCGCCTATTTGCACTTGATGTTGTGGTCTGCCTGTTGCTGTTGCTGCTGCACACGGATCCTTCAATCGGCTGTGTTTCATGTCTGTGGCACAGCCTAGATATCGAAATAGCGAATCTTCCCAGGGCATGGAGGAGGAGGAGGCACAAAGCCAACTGGTCGAGGTACTTTGTCGTGCTGAGCAGCCTCTGCAACTGCTCTCTTTGTTACAGGTTTTGCTGAGAGCATGGAACGAAACATTTCTGAAGAGCTGGATTCAGATGCAAGAGGGTTATGGTAGGAAAGCCTGAGGTCATGGTTTCTGAAGCCTACAGCACTGGGTGGCAGTCCTGCTGATGTATCTTGTCCTGCATGCACGTAGGTAACTCCGGGCTGGAAAAGAGAAGCAGTTGGTGTTTGTTTTCAGTGACCTGGGGCTTATGACCTACAGGTCATTGATATCTCACTAGGTACCCTGTTCCTAACTCGCTATAGGCCTCCAACCCAGGTACAAATGTTCCTGACCATTACAGAAGTCTGATTTGCATTTGAACACATATACAGAAGCCCACAAACACATTTTTTTATAGCCAGTGGATCATTAGCACCAAAATCTGTGGTATATGAAATTTCCAGGGCCACCTGCACAGCTGTCGAAACGTTCAAGACCAGCTGCCTCATTCTGTCTTTCATATACCTCCTAGACAGCTAATTACTATTGAGTTACCAAGAGCTCTGGTCCGTAGGAAGCATTCAACCACCACCTAGTCCTCCTCAGAGCAAATGTAGACTAAAATACCTGGAGAGCACTCAGGTCGAGTGCACATGTTTCCCTCTCCTTGCTGTAGCAGTGCAGGGCAGTGTCCCTGAATTCAGTCATGTCTAAGGACTACTAAAAGCTCCCAGCTGATTTCCTCCACCTCAGTGCTCATTTCTGTTTTACATTTATCTGTCTTACCCCTCTAGCTGAGCAGAGTTTGGTTCCCTTTGCCCTACTGAATCTCCCAGATGGTTAAAAGGACAAACTGTCAAATGTTGATGGCAGAGGTGACATAATTCTAAGCACAGAAGTCCATAGGACAGTCAGGAGCTACCTGGCCTTGCTTTTTAGGATACAAAGTTAAACTCATATTATCACAGATAGCTAATGCAGTCTACAGTG